TTAACTTTTATAAAGAATATCTCTTTGGATTTGAGACTTTAGTCTTTGCAACTTTACAGATCTTCTTTATGCACCAAGAGCTTGTAACACTTCAAAGAGAAAGGAAAAATTGAAATCGCATCATATGACCCCTTTAAGGATGTAGAATATGATCATGCAGAATACGTGCTTTGTAAGTACTAAGAAACAGCTATGTTAATAATAGGCATGCTAATAATCAACTATTTAATAGTGAATAGTGAGACCTATACTAAAGTGTTACCAATGTTTCTTAAGCATCAAATCAGAATATTAGAATGATTTCTGAAGGATCATGTGACACTGAAGACTGGAGTAAAGATGCTGAAAATTCAGCTTTGTATCACAGAAATAAATTGCATTTTAATATATATAAATTCTTAAAATTTATAATATATATATATATATATATATATATATATATACAGTGGGTCTGAATACTTTCCGTACCCACTGTATACATATAAATGTTAAGAATTTTAAAAAGTTTCAATTATTCTGTTAATATGTCACAATATTACTGTTTTTAATGCATTTTTATCAAATAAATGTAGCCTTGGTGAGCAGCATAAAAAACTTTCCAAAACATTTTAAAAACTTTTAACCATGTGCATGTAAGTACTGTAGCATGGTTTACTGATTTTTTTTTTTTTAACCTAACAGCAATCAATGTGCAGATATTTACTCTTTTTTTTTATTCTATAAGCATTTTACCCTTACAAAAGCAGACTATGGTCTATGGTGAATTATAAAATAATTAAATAATTAAGAAGACCACACTGTCTATCAAAAAGTCAAACTTACACATTTGTTCTTGTAATAACAGATATCTACAACTACATCTTGCAACAAATTATTTCAGGCCACATAACAAGAAGGATCCTGTATTGGTTTTAAAAATATGTTTTGGCAAGAATCAAAGCAAGACAACATACCAGAAAGTATGAGTACATGTGATGCTAAAAAAAAATAGACATTTTTTTCAGGCCAAGTTCTGCAGATGAGAAAGGCCTCCATGAATATATGTATGAATGGGACAAAAAGAAAAGAAAAGTAAAAAAAAAAAGATTTGTATCCCACATAAACATGCATAAAAGCATTAACCTTACTGCAGGAAGTATTTCATATAGACTAAATGTAATTTTTTAGAGACCAAATGGAATTAGATATTCACGGTAAGCTGTACGAAGTGTCCTGTTATGTGTTTTTGTTCCAGTGCACTCAGTCCATACATAAATGATTTATCAGATCGAGTGAAATGCAGGAGAGAGATATGTGCATGTCATGAGAGGCCAAAAACAAGCAGGCCATCCGCCAATGAATGCTGAAGTCTCCACCGGACCACAATCCTCTGCTTCTACTCTGGAAATCACTAATAAAACTCATAACTGCACATGAAATCACTTATTGTTGAACATTCTGCATCTTGTCAATCACACCAAACCCTCTGCAGGTTTTGACATCAGACACAACAAACAGGTCTTTTTACCTGCACATTATGTCAGAATCCATTTTACATTCTGGTCAAATCTCTTCAGTTATAAAATGGCTTTGAAGCATGAAATTATACATCTGCTTACACAAAGGAAAAACTTTTCTATTTGCTTCTCCTTTTCAATGAAAAAGCCATTTTCTTGTTAATGTGAACAGCCTAATGACAGGGAGAGGGCCAGGAATCAAACTGTAGACTGTTTATTAGTGTAAATTCAATAATCATGTTATTAATTGCAGCACTGTTTAGAGTGCACTGAGTATAAAACATTCCAGTGAACAAAGCATGACAGGAAGTCTAACGCTTTAGCAAATGTATCCCTCATATATTCCGACTACAGATTAAAAGCACTTTGCTGGCAAAAGTACATACTTCATGAGGATATATTAAGAAAACATGCAGAACTGTCAAAAATCTACCAGATAAAAATGAATGTGTAAGATTTTTCAGCGAATATCTGTACACAGGTTTGGGAAAAACATTCTTTAAATAATAAATATTTTATGTGTGTGTGTGTGTGTGTGTGTGTGTGTGTGTGTGTGTGTGTGTGTGTGTGTGTGTGTGTGTGTGTGTGTGTGTGTGTGTGTGTGTGTGTGTGTGTGTGTGTGTGTGTGTGTGTGTGTGTGTGTGTGTGTGTGTGTGTGTGTGTGTGTGTGTGTGTGTGTGTGTGTGTGTGTGTGTGTACATTTAAGTACAGAAAAAAACGAACAGAAAAACTATAAACTACAAAAAAAGGTGTTGAAAAAAATATTATATAAAGGTGAATAAAATAATTACAATTAATCTTCAGAAGACAGTCTTCGGAAATCAGAATGTTAAAAAGGAATAATAATAATAATAATAGTTTAAAATGTTAATTCCAATTGATTTGTTGATCCAACAGAATGAAAGTCCAAACAGCTGATAAAAACATCACAATAATCCACAAGTAATCCACACCACTCCAGACCATCAATTAACCTCCTGTGGAGTACTTGTGGATTATTGCCATTCTGACGGCACCCATTCACTGCAGAGGATTCATTGGTGAGGATTTCACATGGTGCAAATGTGAAAGAACACTGAACACTGAAACACTCAAAAAAGCAGAGAAATGTATGGCCAGACAGCCTTCATGAACAGGAGAACATCTGTGACCCCCCACACGACTGTCAGACTGAATCACATCTCCGGTCACCGGAGGTTCTGGGAAGGTGATAACCTGACCATCCCTCCCTGTACTTTACTGCACATACAGCTGCTCTATTGTTTTAGCGTGTCAGCATGTCTTATTGCACTCACACGGGTTGTTAGATTACCGCAAAGCCGGTGGTGAATCAAC